TGCCGGGACAGCCGGGCTCCCGGAGGCCACTACACGTTCTGGGCAGGGTGCACTGGTTAATAAATGGTGGACAGGGGTGTCTGCGTGAGGCCCTGGCTGTATCCTGCCACTCTTCCCACGGGGGCAGGAACTCAGTCCAGGCCCTTGTACTGCAGCTGGTGCAAGGGAACAGCCCTGACTTGCCCCGGGGCGCTGCAGAGACACAGAGGCTGAAGGGCAGCTCTGTTATTCAGAAGGTTGCATGGTTTAAATACATTACATACATTTCTACAGTGCATTAGAACAATACATTTTGGGTCAGTTGGAGATGCAGCCAGGCCTGGCCAGGGAGCTGGAGTCTCACTGCTGCCCACCCTGTGCTTCCACAGCCAGCACTGAGCCCCCTCCCCTTGCAGGAGACAAGGGACCTGCTCTCCCTTCCCACACTCAAGCAGCAGAGCCCCAGCCTGCCTTCCTTCCCCCTTCACCCCCCAAAGATGGGCTAACAGGACAGCGAGACCCCACACTGGCTTCCCCCAGTGGCAAGAGAAGCCACAGCTCAAGCCAAGCGGATGCAGGCAGCAGCCCTGGTACCGTTTTCTACAAGCTCAGCAGCTTCTGGGGAGAGAAGGGCTCGCTGCCTCACGCACCCACAGCAGGCCTGTGAGATTGTCAGCACCGGGGCAGCCAGGAGCCCATGCCGGCCCCCCTGTACTCCCATCACACCTCCCACTCACAAAGCAGCCCTTCCCCAGCAGCCCCCTGCCCCACGAGGGGGCCCTAGGCACAGACAAGGCTGGCCCAATGCTGGCTGCACAGCAGCCAGGGAGCTTGCTGGGAGCAGGGGCAAGAACCAAGCACGAGCAGCCATGGAGACCTCTCAGGAGGGATGGACTGGGACAGCAAAAGGGGAGAGGGTGCTTGCACCCACCCTAGGCCCTCTCCAGTTTTGGGGGGCTCCCACAGAGCAAGGGGGCACTAAGCAACAGCCCCTCCCAGCACCGCTTGCTCTTCACAACAAGCCAGCACCTCTTTCCCCTTAGTGTCTAACTGCACCCAAGCCAGCCCCATGAGTTGTCTCTCACATGTCCCTTCTTCAAGCCCTCAGCCAGAGAACAGCCATTCATTGCGGTCCCCACTGCGCCAGCGGGCAGCAGGAACTCCCCCTGAGGAAAGCAGCGTGCACAGGGTTAGGGCAGAGAAGGGACAGTGGAGGACAGCACACCCTCCAGCAAAGGGAGGGGCTAGAACCTGCTACAGGCCTTCCCAGACCAGCAGCCGGCATGGTGGAGAAGAAAAGCGCCAGTGGCTGGTGTAAAGGGCTGGACGGATCCTGGCCTGGGCAGCCTGCTCATCCCAGCCCCAGCAGGGGTGCTCAGAACCGCATGCAGGCCAAAGAGGGGGGGCGGGAGCAGGGTCCCAGCCACACCACGGCTCCCAGCAGATTCTCACACCTCCCCCCGGGCTCTGGCCCAAGCAGGGCACTGAGCTCCAACAGACATGGGGAGGGACCATGCCTGACCTGCCTGGCTTCTCCAGTTCAGCTGGAGGTTCCTCCAGCCGCACCTGCTCGCTCTACCCAGAAGGTCAACTCCCAGCCACAGGACCCAGGGGTTGCCCAGCTCCTCTCGCAGTGCTAGTCCAAGGTGGCCAAGCCCTGCTTGTGGCTCCCACAGCTACCACCATGAGAAGAAAGGCTTCCGGCTCTGGAAGCTCTGTGTGTAGGACTCGCTGGAAGTGCGCTGGTGGGAACGCGCTGTTTCCACAATCACAGGTGGCATCTGAACCAGGTGCAGGGGGCTCTTCCCATCTTTCAGTGCCTGAGTGAGGTTCAGGATCTGTGTGGCACAACAGAGCAATACCTGAGCTGACCCACCGGAGCAACAGAGAGCATCCATCCCAGCAACCTTCCTGCCACACAGGCAGGACGAGGCTCCGTGCCTCACTCATCCGCCCTCCCTACACACAGCTTACCTGGCCTCTCATGACAGCAATCTGCTTGTGAAACTGTCCCCTGTCAAAACCAGGGTCTTTCTGCAAGAGGAGAGTAGAGAACACAGTGGGATCCACCTGCTGTTCCACACCATGCAAGAGATGCCTATTCCCCAAGCAAGCCTCCTTCCTCCTGTCCCACAGGTTTCCTGCTCTCCCAATGAATCCTCAGCTCCTGGCAGAGGGATAACTCTGCTATGCCTCAGCCCAGAAACACTGTCAGAAGCTTGGCCACCTTTCTGTCCCCTGCAGCCTTGACAGGGAGCTCCCCAACACCACCCCTGCTTTTCTTCCTCCCGAGCCATCCTCACCCACTCCCCCAGCTCACCTTGAAGAGCTCATACAGATCTTCCTCAAGGTCCTTGACAAAGTTGGGGTCCGAGATCTTGGGAAGAATCAGGTCCTTGATCTCCTGTGAAAAGGGGATTTTGGCCTGGGGCAGCCATGCCCAGTAGAATGGATCTGTGGGAGGAAGCAGGAGATGTGAGAGCTGGGGAAGGCAAAGGATGGTGCCACATACCCCGTGGGGCCAGATCACCTGCGTCTGGGACACAGGGTCCAGCACCCACTTCCTACAGCCTCTGCTGAGGTGGAGCTGCCCATGAATCCAGAAGGTTTGCACAGGGACAGTCCTAGCCCTCTCCTCTCCAGCCCTTGAGGAGGATGCCCGAGAGCAGAGTTGTATGGCCCACCAGGGCACCCTGACACAGCCTGAGCAACTCACATGCTCTCCAGGAGTCCGGGTGTTTCAAGGGAAAGGCCAAACCGTTGTCTATAGCAGCCAGCTTGATGATGGGCTCCTTCACCACCACCCAGTCGCTGTCCTGGAAGGAAGCGGAGCATGTCACAAGGAGGCACCCCCCAGCAGGAACGGTTTCCCTCCCACCCCCTGCAGCCCCCTCTGCCAGGACCTTTGTCCTGGCTGCCACAGAGGCACAGCAGCCTCTCACCCGTAGCGTGGCCTCTTGCCCACAGGGAAACACTGTCTGCTTTGGGTGGGGGGGGGGGACAAAGTTGTGTCCCCCACCCCAGGCCTCACCACAAGGATGCACAGCGACACCAGTTTCCCCCACAGAGCCCAGCTGCATCTTCACAGAGTCCCACTAGGCCACAGACTACTGACACAGAGGGCAACAAAAGGTCCAGGAGACAAGATTAGGTCTCCGCATGCTTGGAAACCCAAACGAGCTGGTAAATCCCTGGCCCACCTGCAGGAGTAGAGCTGCCCCATGAGCCCCTGCCCAGCAAGAGCTGCTCACCCGCACGCCCGCGCTGTCCAGGGGACAGTCGTACTTGATGAGCCAGTTGTCATTCCCTCGATCTGCAGTGAGAAAAAAATGACTGTGTCAGTGCCAGGGCCTGCCTCCACCATGCTGGGCAGAAGACTACTCCTCCTCTGACCCAGAAGTGAGCCAGACCAGTTTTAGAGGCCCAAACTCTACCCCAGAGCCCTCAAGCTTGCTGCAGGTCTGGGAAGTGACATCAAACCCCACAGAACAAGCCCTGGAGACTGGAGAGGTCCACATATCCCCAGCTCGCAAGAGAAAGGTCAGCCTGCAAGCCCCAGAGTGCCACCCCAACCCCTTCCAGCCTGTCAGAAACTCAGAAGCTCAGCGCGAGATGGGATATAGGGGCACAGTCAGGTGCTGGATCTCTGAATGTCCCTGGATCCTCACAGATGGCAAACTTTCCACCCCAGGATCATGATGGATCCAGATCTTCCAAAACACAGGCCAGCAGCCAGAGCATGGCCATGGTCATGGGCGGCCACAGCAGCTGCACTCTACCCGAAAGCAGCTGCCACCTGGCAGCAACCAAGTAGGGCTGAGTTTTGGGTGCTGGGAAGAGACACCAAGGCCCTGTCCCCCTCTCCTTTCTCCAGCTGGCAGGACATGAAGGAGCAGGCAGTGTCCCACACCAGGCAGCCGGCCCTACCTGTGTTCCTGATGATGTAGTCCAGCACCACCAGCCGCTCAAATTGTAGCAGCAGCTGCCGGTTGGTGTTCTCTGGGAGCGGCTCCGCTTCAAACCGCCGCAGCCAGTAGTCAGCATCCTTGTAGCCTTCCACAAAGAGCTGGAAGGAGCCCACCTGCAGCAAGGAGAGGCTGCGTTACAGGAGGCTGCAGAGGACGGAGAAGCAGCGACAGGCAGATGTGGAGGCTGGCAGCCCTACCTTGGGCGGCAGACCAATGCGGTTGAAGCGCTGGCCAACTTTTGGTACCTTCTCCAGGGCCAGCCTCTTTCCTCGGGACTTCACCCTGTCAATGGCACTGTAGTTAAAGGTCTCGCTGGCCAGATACACCACCTGGGGGGAGAGAAGCACAGACGTCAGCAGGGGCACCTGGCAACTGTCACAGGACTGGCTGATAAAACCAAGACACAGCATTTCCCATGGCTCTGCCTAGCACCAACATCCCCATGGCTTGAGCAGGAGCAGTCCTGGTCCAGGGCTCTCAACACAACATCTCTGAGGTCAGCAGTCCCACCAGACAAGGCACAAGCAGAGCTGTGCAGAAGTGCATGAAAGCCTCCCCAGGACAAGATCCCAGCAGCTGCCTCTCACCTTCGTGCGGGGAACAATGTTGAGTTCCAGTTTCTGGTCCACCAGGCTGGCGCCCGCCTCTGACAGGTAGCCCTGGTTGAGGACGAGGCAGTCTCTCCCAAAGCAGCACGGGCAGCACAGCTTCTGCAGCCACTTGGTCCACTTGGGGTTCAGCTGCCCATACGGCTCCTCGTTCTTAGGCTTGAAGACGCCAATGATTTTCTGTGAGCAAGAAAGAGGAGGGCTGACTCAAGGCAGTTGGCAGGACACTCCCCCTCAAGCCAGCCTGCAGTGGGGACACTCAGGAACAGGCCCAGCCTGCAGTGGGGCCACTCAGGAACAGGCCCAGCCTGCAGTGGGGACACTCAGGAACAGGCCCAGAACAGCACCTCACTGCAGTAACAACCAGCCCCTGGGACCAGGCAGACCCCACAGGTCCTGGGAGGGAGGCAGGCAGTGGCTGGGGGGGGCCCCTCCCCCGCCCGCGCCCAATGGCTGGGAGGGACCCTTCCCCAGCCAGTGCCCCATCCCAGGAGAGCAGAGTGCTGCCTGAAGACGACCTTCATACGCAGCTCACGTACCTGGAAACGACCCCCCTTTGTCCCAAAAGACACCAGCAATGACACTGTCCCCTGGTAAACATCCCAGTCCCATCCCAGCGACTTTTGGATGGCTGGTGAGAGCTACTGCCCACTGCTGCTCCTTACGTCCACGCAGGAGATGGATGGGGACAGCAATCCCTGCCCTGGCTCCAAAATCCATTGAATGGAGCTGATCCCAAACTGACCAGAGGCAGTGGGACCAGAACAGCTGAGCAGCTGGAGGACCCCCAAGGAGGCCAGGGCTCTGTGCTAGGGGGGCCCAGACAGAGACAGCAGAGGGATTTCTGGATACACTGTGGGCAGGAGTGCACAGGCACCTCCAAACTGTCCACCAGCTGGCACCAGCAGTATCCCCAGCCCCCCAGTCCAGCCTCACACATATTGACCCAACAGCGGGGACAGCAGCACAGGTACCCCACCACTGCAGAGGGCACAGAAGTCTTGTGCTAAGTGCTGCACCCTCACTAAGCCAGCGCTGCCAAGCCACACAGCTGAGACAAGAGCCTGGGGCAAGAGCAAGGCCACGTGCCCCCACAGGCCAGGCACCCCTGGGGTGCTGCCCGACAGCTCCGGGCTGGCAGCCCCTGCTCTAGGGTGACTCAGCAGCACACACGACCATCCCTCGCATGGTGCTGCCCCTGGCCTGAGTGGGTGGCACTTCCCCAAGCTGAGCTCCTGCCACAATGTGGAAGTGGGACATGAACCCCAGCACCTCAGTAGGGGACCCCAGTGCAATCCCAGTCTGCCACCGGCCAGAAACCAGCCCAAGGGAGGTGGGAGAAAGGTTTTGTCCACCAGGAACAGGAGCAATTCAGCCATCCCCAGATCACTAAAGGAGCTGCTTCCCCTGAGTGGGCACGAAGGCAATCTCCTCATCAGCCTTACGTGAAGGCACACAACTGCCAACACATCCCTGGATTTGAGCCTGCAAGAGGCTTGCCAGGAGCTCTGGTAGCATGGAGCCAGTCCAGTAGAGCAAGGCCCAGTGGGACAGGGACATTGTGGGAGTAGAGGCCAGAGGTCTGTCAGCACAGCATCCCCTTCCAGACAGACCCGTGCTGGGAACAAGACTGGCAGGGAAAACAGGTCTGCCTGGCGCCAGCACCAAGGCAGAGGGAGCCAGGCCAGCTCAGAGGCGCAGCTGGCAGTTGGGGTGACCACAGCCACCAGGGCTGGGGAAGCACATCCCAGCTGGGACAGCTTGGGCCTCAGCAGCCCAGAGGGAGGCAGACATAAGTTTTTCCCCCAATGCCCTCACACCCTGCCCCCAACAGCAGCGTGCTGCACTCCCTCCTGTGCCAGCAGTGGGGAGGTTTTGGTAACCCTGGGCAGCAAGCCACAGAACTCAGACATACATCCTATCTGTTGACAGCGGGGCAGCCCAGGGGACCTACCAAGTGTCCAGCAGTACACTGACTTTTGCTCCTTGCACACATCATCCACCAGCCCTTACCGAGCTCAGGTCTCCTATGGCCAGGCAGCCTCTGCCCTACCCCAGGCAGCTCATCTAGCCGCCCACCCCAGTGACACCACATCTCATATTGGGCAATGGGATGGAGCAGGAGGGCAGCAGGAGGAAGTGTGTATTGCCCCATAGTTCACCAGCTCTGCTGGGACCTGCCTACCACAGCTCCCAGGAGCCAGGCTCCACCCGGGGCAGGAAAATTAGGGCACACAAGAGACCAGCAAGCCTAGTCCTGCTTCACTGGAAGCATCCCGGCACACATGCGGCGAGGGAGTCACGG